GGCCCCCCCCCCCCCCCCCCCCCCCCCCCCAAATTGGCGGTGATGGTGCGCCCCAGTGTAAGAACAATTCCCGCCATAAGAACAAATCTGACACTATTCACACTATCTATTAACGCACTAGATGGGAATCATAGAAGAAAGTCTCTTCTGCTTCACGAGCAGCCCTCGGCGCTTCGATTGATCTCTCACTTCCCTGTGTAGGCATTGGCGGTGGTGGTTGACCATAAACCTTTGTATACTGTTTGGTCAGCCGCTTTCCCTCCTGTATAGCCTGTTCTTCCTACCTCTCCTGGATTGAATGATTGGCATTCTGAAGATCGATTATATCCATCCTACTAAGCGGTTTGGACCTGGATACGTTTAATATCCTTCGTTTTCTGCTTCACTGGTGATAACTGCATGCTCACAGGAAGACGGTTGAAGAAGCGATACACCCAGTTTTTTGCCGACAAAGTGATCAAGACCAGCACGTTTGGGCGAGAGATTGGTCATATCCTCTAGTAGCACGGGTAACCAGCATATGGCAATCGTTCAATGTCAGTATCCACCGCCTCAAAATTTCCTCCTGATACTCTTTGAGAGCCTTATTATTTAGTTTTCTGGCAGTGCGAGCCTGCTTTCCTGACGAACCCGTCCCCGCAGCACGGCATACGAAACACCATATTCCCGCGCAGTCTTCACTAAAATCGGATATTTTGGGCACGGGCGGGTTCGAAGGCCACGGTAACACGGGAATTGCCAATTTCACACAGATTTGGCATAGTGGGGGACTGGGAATAGCTTCAGGAAGGTTGGTGGTCGAAATTTGTTCTTACGTTGGGGCGCTCAGTAGGCACTGCTACCTACGATCGGTGACCCCTCTAACCCGCTTCAGTAGTTGCGCATAAGTCCGAGATTCTGGCAATCCCCGCGGTGCTATTTCTTAACAAGCATTTTGCGCCTCAGAACTTCAGGAGCCGCTCGAGCATTCTCCTCGCGATATTTGAATTCAACAGTGTGCTCTCGTTGTGCAAACGGCATCCGTACCGGATTTGAATGGATCGGTGCCTGTACTAAGTAATTTTCATTGGACCTATTTTGGGCTGGAATTTTGAAATCGGCTACAGAAGTTTCAGTAAGACGCTTGCCCGGCTACGGGAGCTATTCATGTTTACCAATCGGCAATATTCTGTGTTGGAGAATAAATGAAATCTACCCCAATCTCAAATTTCTCCATCTCTCCCTCAAAAAAAGTCATTCCCGTCCGGTATCTTGTCATGCTCCCATCAGGTCAATTTCTACAAAGCGATCAAGATCGAACATTAAGCGGAACAAACCTGACTGCCTGCGTATTCGCGTAAGCTCTGGTCCCCAACAAACGCGAGAAGTTTGAGATTCTGACGTCCAATACGAACACTCCATCTCGCAATCCTCGATGCCGACATTCCCGCTCGGGAGCTGTATGATGCTAGGGGTCTGTACAGCGCTCAATTCCGAGACATATTGTCCAATGCTTTTTCTCGCATGAACGCTTCAGGTGTGAAGGAGGCTCCTTCCGCGACAGTGAGGGTTTCTGCATGGGATATTCACGGTGGCTCTTATCCACCTTATGATATCCTGCGGCAGAAACCGCCAGATCGATTGGAGCGCTGCTTGACCCCGTTGTCAACAGACAGCGGGAGTCATGCCCTAGGACCGGTAGATGCGATCCTCATTACGGGTGCTGCACCCGGGGTGTACGAGATCGAAAGACACGCCTGGATGCAGAATTTGGAAGTTTACATCCGGGTCGTTTTTCAAAACTACCGCCATGTCCAAATTTTGGGTTCCTGCTTTGGGCATCAAATAATTGCGAAGACCATTCTCCCAGACTTTGGAAGCACGTATCAGGTTGGCGTCGAAAAATGCCCCCTGGGTCGAGAGGTGGGCATCTATGAAGTCCAGATGAATCATGCATTTACCCGTACTTTTCCCGTTTTGAATAAATTGCCCGAAGGTAAACTACGGGTGCAGATGATGCATGCGGATTGGGTGTCGGTGACTCGCAGAGACTCTGATAAGCGATCTATGTCTCTACCTCACCCGTGGCAAAACATTGGAAGCACCGCCATTTGCCCAATTCAGGGACTTTATTACCCAGGCAGAGTTTTTACCGTTCAGGGTCATTTCGAGACTGGATGCTTTTGCGATGATCAAAGTATGTGAGGAGTTTGGTCCACAGTTGGGATGGTCCGAATCACAGACGGCTTTGTATCGCAAGCAAATTGGGCTTGACGTTCAGCCTCGTCAAGACGATGCGGAGATACTGGCCGAGGCAATCATCTGCTTTCTGGCAGGTATCGAGGTTGCTTCTGTTGATAATAAGTAGAAGGTTCCAGAAAAGTTGAAACGACAGAGAGGTATGGAGCTTGGTTGTTCTCTCTGCGAAGAGATGTATAGATAGACCTTGGAAGAAAGGATACTTTTCAATGACGTTTTCTTCGCCCAGCCTGAAGACATCTGGGCATCCTGCAACTTTTACCCCGTAATGAGCCTCTACGAAGCTCATCGACGGAAAACATACTAACTTGGGCCGGCCTTACTGTACTTGGATTTCCAAAAGCTTGAAGTAACGGCAATAAACCTTTATTGTCCATCTTCTCTAAGGCTCTCAGTCAAGAATTCTTGAGCACGAATGCTAATTAGACCGTGCGTCGTTACTAACTCATCAATGGCGCTTAAAGTCGCTGGATTCGGTTCATGTAGCAGAAATCGTATGTTCTGTATTTATGGTAGGCCTCATCGATTCAGGGGTTCTGTTCCGTGAAGCTAACATTCCATCCTGTTTTATCTCTCACTAGGGTGCACATTCTGTGGTACGTACAATTCCTCCGAAAAGGTAATCTCTTCGTCACTGAATCCCACTCCCAGGCTGGCTACAGCTTCATCAATACGCTCCTTACTTGCCAACCCTAGTATTGGATTATCACCCACCCTCAAGGACCACGCAAGAGCACCTAGACCACTGCAGCGCCTTTCTTCTTGGCTAACTCCTCAACACGATTGCCTTGTCAGATTGAGTCTCTCGGCTGTCTTGGTTATCTTTCCGAGACGCTTTGATGCTCCGCGGACTGTACTAGGGGCATGCCAAGGGCGAGCGAGCCGACACGCCTCGTGCTAGCGGCGACCAAGATATGAGTCCAATGCCTGCATCCTGGCAATATGGAATGATTTCACGTTCTTCCTCACGGTCAAGCAGATTATGATAGTTCTGCATTGAGATGAATTGATACCACCCATTGCGGACAGCAATCCCTTGAAGAGACTGGAATTCCCAAGCTGCCATCTAGTACGGGAGTCAGTACAGAAGCCATCTAAGTTTCCATCACTGCCCGATTTACCGGGCCTGCTCTCCCCATCAGGAATGTCGAGAAAGAGCGATGTTACCGAGCTAGCCCTAACGTAGCGCACCTTCCCACTCTCCACTACATCATCCAATGCTCGCATGATTTCCTCGCGTGGTGTCTCCCGATCCAAGCGACGGATCTGTAGCACATCAATATATGTGCGTAGCCTTTGGACGCTCGCTTCAACAGCGTCAAAGATGCGTCTCCGGGACAAACCAACAGGATTTGCCCATTCTCCTTGATCCCCACTTGTAACGGATATTGATGTTTGTTTGCCTTCTTCCTGGACACCGAAGAAGCGTTTGGTGAGAATTGTCACGCGACTGCGTGGAATGTTAAATTTCTTAAGGGCTTTCCCAACAATTTCCTCTGACTTGCCGTGAGGTAATATATCAGCCTGTAGTTAATGTGAGTTTAGAAACAGCAGAGAAACGAAGTGGGGAGATCCACGGTATCCCAAGTGTTGATGCAACGCTTGTAGGCGTGTTCAATCAGACTGAGCGCCTCACCTCCCCCACAACAAATCTTGCCATTGTTTGGTGCCATAGGACATGCAGCCTAGGATAAGGCGGGACACTTTTAGCCCCGACTTGCCCAGGGAAACATATTCCATCTTGATCTCGGTCCTAGTGATCTTTCTTATGGCGACGAAACTCAAGTCCACCGGTATGGCTCAGTGCAAATTGCCTCTTTGGCTGGTGAAAATAAAAAGAATTCCTGATGGTGAATGTTGCTCGAACGGGAGCTTATATACCTTGAAATCATAATATCGGCCTCGATCGCGCTCTATTAGTCAAACTTGCATCCACTTAGCTTTTGGAGTGGTGCTTTAAATACGGGTAGTGCTATTTGTTAGAGGCTAGAGAGATATGGGGGTTTACTTCATTTGATAAGCAAGGCAAGTTTTGACACCTATCATATATAGAGTAGGGTACATCAACAACACATAGTCTAGACCTATAGAAGAACCTATAGGGTCCTAGTCGTTGAGGCCGTTATGCCTACTAAATGGGCCTGTCCTCTGTTAACTAGAGACGCTTCTGGTACAAATTCGCAGCGAACCTCTTGCTTGGATTAACGCCAGATCTGCTTCCTTATATTGGTGTTCTGAACCAGAAGATCACCAGAAAAAGCTCTAACTGAACACTCGATAAAAGGAGAATAACCCCCTAGTGGAGTCTCAGCAGGCTCTTAAGGAGAGGGCATGGTCCTCGCGTGGCTTTCTAGCGTTGCAGTCGGCTTTATGTTAGTTGGAAAGGCAGATGAAGTCCCTGAGACCCCCGGGATACCAGGTGAAAAGATCAGCGAGTGGCTGCCGCAAGTGCTTGTCTGCTCCAAGCGAAGGGTGGATCTTTCAAACGTAAGTGACCACGTATCGCTTCTTATAGGTCGTCACGTCATTCGCTTTCTTTAAGCTCATCGACGAGATTTTAAACCTGAGGTGTACATACATGTAGTCGCGTGGTCTACGGCATCGTGGACATGCGTTGGCAATAGAGCAAGAGGAGCATCAAACTTGGATAGCAGAAGAGGAACCGAGTAATACTAGATAATCCAACTCTTTCCCGAAAATGCCTACAACGAAATAAACACGCTCTTTAACTGAGTCCAAGTGTCCAAACAGGCCTTGCTAAATTCCCTCCCTCCCGCACCACTTTGCTTCCATCCGCCCATCGGTAAATCAACAACCATGAAAGGACTTGTGCAGTTAACGCCAACTGCACCAGCCTCTAGCGCTTTGGCAACTCTCAAAGCTCGCGAAATATCGCTCGTAAAGACACTCGAGTACAGACCAAACTCGGTATCATTGGCCCTCGTCAAGACCTCCTCCTCGCCAGTGAAGGTATTGACCACAAGAACGGGACCAAATATCTCTTCTTTGATCAACTTATCGTCTTCCGGTACGTTGCGAACAATAGTCGCGTCCACAAAGTAGCCCTTGTCACGAGCCTTGTTTCCGCCAAGGGCGATCTCGAAGCCCTGCTCTTTTGCGTGATCGAGATAGGACAGTACGCGACTGAACTGCAGCTTGTCGACTTGGGGCCCTCGCTTAGTATCGGCAAGCGTAGGATCACCCGGCACGCCCATTTGGGCCATTGCCTGTTTAAGAGCTTCAATGAATTTGGGGGCAATGCTTTCCTGTACGTAGATCCTAGTACTAGCCATGCAGACCTGGCCTGAATTGTACAGAATGGAGAAGGTAGCGGACATAACTGCCTTCTCGAGAGGTGCGTCGTCGAACACAAGCAAAGGACTTTTACCGCCAAGCTCCAAGCTGACGTCCTTCAAATTGGACTCACTGGAAGCTTTCTGAATGGCCCTGCCAGTGGCGACGGAGCCAGTAAATGAGATCCTTCTAATATCCATGTGCTTGGCAATAGCCTCACCACAAGGTTGACCGAATCCACTCAGGATGTTGAGTACACCTTTAGGAAGACCGACTCTCTGGCACAAGGAAGCGAAGACTATCGATGCGAACGGGGATTTCTCCGACGACTTGAGCACCATGGTATTTCCAGCTGCCAAGGCTGGCCCAATTTTGGTGATGAGCATAAGCAAAGGAGCGTTCCAAGGGATGATGCCTCCGCACACGCCGTAGGGCTGACGGATGGACATATTGAGGTAGCCAGGAGTATTGAGAGATGTCTCTCCAGTAATATCCATGGCATGGCTGCCAAAGTATTTGAGGTATTGCTTTGAAGTGGCTAACACGACTGTTCCTTTGTCAATAAGGTTGCTTCATGGAACCTGATATAGAAGTCCGCAAACGGGAGGGTACGAGACGACTAACATTTCATTCCAGACGGTGGCATTCCCATGGTAACAGCCTCTAAATGAATGAATAGCTCCTCATTTTTTTCAATCTCATCCGCCAGTTTGGACAAGTAATCGCATCTTGCCTGAGCTGAGAGAGCTGACCATGCTGGAAAGGCAGCTTTGGCCGCCTCCACAGCACGGTCGACATCTCCAACATCGGCTTCATGAACGGAGGCTATGACCTCCTCAGTCGTGGGGTTGATTATATCAAACTTTTTGCCGGAGAACGAGGGGACGAATTCGCCATTGATAAAGAGTCGGTTCTCCTTGAGCGAGTCGGTAGCCATGACGACCGGATACAAAAGCAAACAATACGTTGGCTTCGTCTTACAAGTGCAACTGAGCGGAAGAATAATGCTGGGTGATAAGTTGAGACTAATGTTGATACGAAAAGAAGTGACTGGCGACCTTCCTTTTATGCGGGTGGTATGCTATGCGAGATGAGACCCGGAAACCGCCCCAGGAGGGTTCTCGACGGTACGGCCATGAACTAGCACAATAGTAAGTGTCCAGTTGATCGCATAACGTCTTCCGAGTCCCCGGACGGATGTGGTCTTCGGGAACTTGGGAGCGTTGCAAGTGGCTGCTCAGTGGTCGATTCCATCATGTATCTCCACTTTATAAGCTCCCAGGCGGGAACCCGCTGGTTATCATCGGATTTAAGAGCGTAGACCGAGAGAGAGCTAGAAAACCGGCAAGCCCGAAGTTCTACTTCCGGATCCATCGTTCCGAAGCTGCGCAGTGATTATTGTGCAAGAAAATAAGCGAAATTTGTGGTGTACAAAACCCCAAAAGCATATTCATGTTGGATCCTCCCGCCCAGAAGTCGGCGATGCTTCCGCTGACTAAGCGGCATGATGGTCCACAGGTCCACGGATGGTTGTTGCCAAAGCAATGGAGGCTTCTGTTAGATATTCTTGAATGTATCTTCTTACAGTGCATGCATGCAGTTGTACTTTATGCCTAATGGATGTGTATCTGCCAAGTTAGCTACACAATGAATGACTTTAACTGACGATTCCCTGTTACGTTGCCCTAAAATATCTATACATACGTAGCCATACATAATCTCCAAGCAGAAGATTCGCCCTCATCAATGGACGTATCGTTTACAGTCCACGACTTCGACAGTGAAAAGTGGAGGGAATTTGAGGCATTAAGCCTAGTAATGTCAGTAATCTTCCACATGATTCCTATTTCTACGACTGCACCATACGAAATAAAAAGATCATCTTCCGTGCTCTAGCAACCTCCTCGGCGGACCGAAGACTCTCGTATTATAACACTGCTCCGGAACATAGTTTGGCAAAAGCGTCTTCTTTTGGCTTCTTAGCGGATCCGGTCAATGAACCTAACGGTGTAGGACTGGCTCCAGTCTGCTCTGGCGGAGATGTTTACAAGGCCCTACGTACTTGTTGCAAACTTTCGGTCATTTCTTTCGCTCCACCCCTCCCGCAGCAAAGCATAAACCTCAACATTCTTTCATCATCCTGAAGGATACTCACGTCCCAGTTAGTAAGCGGATATTTAGATTCCGTCCGGCTCCTTGAGGATCGAGTTATGAGAAGCCGGGCTTGGGTCCAATTTTTGCCAACATGCAACAGTGGACTGTGGGTTAGTGCTACAGATAAATAAGACACTCTCCTTCCCGCCAACGGTGCTGGATATCCTTGCAAGTATTTTGTCTTTACACCCAGAATCATACGTTCCTGCTTATCATGTTGGCCAAGACAGCTAGCTTGCTAGTAGCGGCAAGTGTTGTTGCTATCCCTTCCCTGGCAACAACGACCCCTACTATTCAGACTATTTCGAAAGATGTGGTCATTGTTGGTGGTGGTGCTGCTGGTGCCTATGCCGCTGTCCGGGTCCGTGAGGATTACGGGAAGAGCATTGCGTTGATTGAGAGAGAGTCACATTTGGTGAGTAACTGCAAAACCATCTTTCGTACCCAGTGATTAGTCCTAAACAACAGTACTCGTCCGACAGGGTGGCGCCGTTGATACCTGGACTGACCCAAAGACCGGGGTACCCTACGAGTTGGGTGTTGAGGCTTTCCTGGATTACGGCAATGCTACAAAGTTTTTTTCGCGGTTTAATGTATCTGTGCATGTGTCCGAACAGGAATCAGTAAACACCCAGTATGCGGACTTCAGCACAGGTCATTGGGTGAACTACACAGTGCCCACAGCGGCCGAACGACTTGCTGCATTTCAAAAGTATGCAAAACTTGCCGAGCAATACGAGGACATGATGTTGCCCGGGCTATGGGACTTCCCTACTGCTGACAAAATACCCGAAGATCTGCTTCTCAACTTTGGCGATTTTGCGAGGAAATACGGCATCGAAGCTGCAGTTCCTACAATCTGGGATGTAGCGGCTGTAGGCTTAGGAAATCTGGAGACTCAGCCAACCTTCTACGTTATGCAGTCATTTCCAGCGCCTCTGGCGCGAGTTTACACTGGCAAGGGCCGGACTCTCTACGTGGCGTCCCACAGGAACCAGGACATATACGACAGAGTGTCGGACCTGCTAGGGGATGATGTCTTCTATTCAAACGTTGTTGTCCGTGCATTGAGAACATCCAATGGCGTAAGCGTTATTGCCAAAGGCACGGACGGACGTCAAACGGAGATTCACGCAAAGAGATTGCTCATCGCTATCCCACCGACTGTATCTAACCTCGCGCCATTCAACCTCGACAAAAAGGAACTCAATATCTTATCCAAGACGACATACACCCGTGCTTACGCTGGTGGGGTCGTTTCTTCGAACCTGCCGTCGAACACTACCATCATTAACTCCGCCCTTTCTGGAAACTGGCTCAACTTTCCGGACCTGTCGTTCCTACAATGGTACAAAGCCCTAAATTCGCCTGCGCATTATCATAAGGTCATGATGTTTGGAAATGAGACTGTGGATAGCGACGGGTCAAGGGGGCTGGTTGAACAGTCTTACCAGCAGCTTGTCAACGCAGGCACTCTGTTAAAAGAAGGTGGCGAGGGACTTGAATGGCTCCACTTTGCAGATCATGGAGCTGTCAACGTTCGGGCCTGCCTCAAGGACTTGAAAGCTGGGTTCATTCAGGAACTCTATTCTCTCCAAGGGCATCTGTCCACTTGGTACACGGGTGCAGCTTGGTCCGCGCAGTTACATACTCCCACATGGGCTTTCTCGGACTCTGTCATCCCAAGGCTGGTAGAGGGCCTGTGAGATGAAAACTCCCACAGGAGTTCCGTCGAGTACAGTGGAACAGTTACCTGCAGCTTGCTCCTATGGGTTTCTTCATGTTGATGAAAGTGGGACAGTAACTTACAGCTTTCTCTCATTCATCACAAACCCTACACACTTTTGTATATATATATATATATATATATTTTTGGTGTTGAAATTGGGATTGTATCAACTGTCGATATCTCTCATACAGCCAGGCAAATGACGGCTCTCCATGTCATACTGGCTTTAGTCTGTGGTCTCTTTCTTCCAACGCATAGTTCTACGCTCACCATACAATACCACATTATACTATCTGATGCTCTCATCTACCTGTGGATTCTAAAAGCAAATTCCAGTATCGCACCATTAACATTCCCTTTGATTTCAAATCATTTCATTTCAATCGATGGACTATTCAATTCAACTGGTGCCGTTGGTCAATCTAGCTCTATCAACGGATACTAGTCAATACTGCTTTTTAGCTTGCTCGAACACATAACAAAAGTAAAGAAATGGAGGGCCTTTGACCTGGTGCAGTGTTGAGCTCATTTCAATGTCAAACTACCAACCCAGTCAATCAAGTTCCACGCATTGTTATGTGTTCCAGTCACTGACACCGCAGAAAGTCTCATAGAAAGAGAAAAAAACGAATATGTATATCAAGAGTACATAGGCCATAGCTCTATTCTATGGACATATGCGGTACCAGAGGTACTTCTGTATATCCATTGGCATGTCCGTACGGCGAGATCGGCATTACAAATACTGGGCGATTTTGTGAGAATCTCCATCGTGTCAGTGACCTTTGAAAGTCCGTCCATTTCCTGCCATGTCTCGTCGAATCAGTTTCAGCCTATGTAGGCACGTGCTACATGAGTACTCCTCGGCATTAGACCCCTGCGTTCCAGTTAAATAACGTGGCGAATCCATCGAAATCGTGCTGCAACCGCACGGCTTGCTAGCCCAGCTTATGACTTGAATGCTATGAGTGTCTCCTCTCGACACATGGCATGTAAGACATGCCGGGAACGAAGAGTTCGCTGCGATGGCGCGGCCAGCCATCGTGTGAGAGATGTAAACGGTTTGGGGAGACTTGTGTGTATGTTCCGCGCACAAGGCAAACCAAAGGAGACCTCATCGAGACAATTGAAAGTCTGCAAGAGCGACGTGGTGAGGAAAGCCTTACTTGTCGTTGCCCGGTAGTGATCCATCCTGCTGATCCTTTTCATTAGCCAGAGCCGAAGCACAGCCCAACCGCAGTTTTTCCCATTACTATGGAACTCCCTGTATCCCGTACCTTGTCCGCCGGGACCTCCGCACCTCCTACATCCCACATGGGCAATACGAAGCCCTTCAGTAAATTTCGTTCCCTCTAATGCCGACGCATCGTGGGCAGAGGGTGTGCCTGGAGGTACATTTCCGGATCAGGATGGATCCGCAAGCGTGCTGAGTCCCATTACCACTGCCCTAGGCTCGGACTCGGATGAAACTTCGCTCTTCCCATGGTGTATGCTGCTTGCACAGATGGTCAACGAGTATGCGTCTCCCGATCTGACACATATCGAAACGTCCCACCAGCCCGCACCTACCGAGTCTCCGCGACATCCGCACTTGGAATGGGCAGCAGCTATGCAAGGACGATCCAGACGCGGGGACAGTCCTCAGCGAACTCATCAGGTTCGTCTCGGCTACATTCACCAACCAAGCCCACATGGGTGGAATGACCACCGCTGTGGCAGATTATCTGGCGTGGGCTCGCCGGGCCCCGGACGTCAACTACCCATTCATTCTGGAGATCCTTGAGGCCAGGCTGCGGTAGACAGCCGAAATCGCCAATACCAAACACTGGGTCGAGTTTTAGAATCTTCGGGCTTCGCTGGCCGGAAACATTCAAACCGAAGCTTAGTATGCTCGAAAATGAGCTCAAGAACGCCGAGTCTAACACGACACGTTAACTCAGCACACACTACGATATTCACTCTACAGTTGACCTTCAACTGCGCTCATGATTATACGTTTTCACGCTTTCGGGACGAGACCTACGCTGTTTTCGAATTTTTGCAATGCATATATATGAAGTAAAGACTAGATATATAAGGGTATACATGAAGATAAACCTTTCTATACAGGACAGCGTATCTTCAATGATATAGCGTTGATCGTAGTCTTTTTCCCGTAGTGTAGCAGCTTGACCTCTGGATTGCGGCAAGGAAGCCATACCGTGACAAAAGCCGATATCGCATTGGTAATCTAGTGTACACGAGTCATAGTCGCCAGGAATACAGGGTAAGGATTTCCTTTCAGCTACCTTCGTAGCAAGTAAATCTGAAAATTCTGAAATTTACCCACTTCTCGAGTCACTTGAGACATTCCCCGCTGATGTCCTGCGTCGTGTTGGGGGCCAGATGAGACGAGCCCCCATATATACACCCATATATACACTGCAACTCTAGTATGAAAATTCCTCGCCTACTAGCTTCTCGCTCAACCTCCACAGTCTCTCCGCTTCAAAGCTACTGGTCACCCACGGCTTGACTGTATCAGACAGTGGGTCTGCCACATGGGAGTCAATAAGATAAGCGCCGTTGTTAGCTACCGAGTCAACCTGTCAGTATGCTCTCCGTCTCCCGTCTATCCGTATGTAACATACCTTTAAGAGCCGGATCAAACGCAGCATAGATATGAGTCGCCGACACCTCGCTCCAACGGCTTGGCATCGAATTCTTTCCAGCCCTCCCGGTTGCCCAACGCCTTGTCGGCGCTCCCTGTGGTAATGTTAGCGGCCGTGCATTTGATGGTCATGGCTGGTACTTACGAAGTCCATCCAGATCCACACTCCAGTCAAGGTGGTTACCCAGATTCGTCCAGATGACGCCCGGGTGCAGGCTGAATGCGAGAAGGCCGTGTTTCAGGCCGAGCTTCTCCGCCAGGGAGATTGCGAACAATATGTTGGCCGTTTTGCTCTGGCCATAGGCGAACCATTTGTGGTAACTCTTCCCTGCCTGGTCGATATTTAAGTACGGGTGCCTTACAAAAGCAAAATCCCATGCATCACTTACATCAAAGTTGTAGTCATCGAAGCGGAAAGGATTCAGACGATGACCGTCGCTGCTAACCACGACGATCCGAGGACTCTTAGAAGCCAAAATCTTCTTGATAATCAGATTTGTGAACAGAAACGGACCTAGATGGTTGGTTGCCAGGTGAGACTCAAATCCCTCCGGCGAGAGCTGATAATCAACCGCCATGACACCGGCATTGTTAACCATCACATCGACGAGTGGAATATCATCCCAGGAATTCACCTGGGCAGCTGCATCACGCACACTCTCAGCGAACCCAGATCGACTTTCAGCTTGCGGACCTTGACATCCGGGTATGCGGTCACGATGTCGCTGGCGGTTTGTTGGAGTTTTTCGGCGTTGCGGGCGCCCAGGATGAGCCAGGCGGGTTTGGCTTTGGCGATGGATCGGACGAAGAAGCCGCCCAGGGAACCGGAAGAGACGCCGGTCGTCAGGACGACCTTGTCCTTAATGAGATGGTTGTAATCGTTGACCAGCTCGTTGGCGGTGGTGTCTGTGTCGTACGGGGCTGGCATGATTGCGATGGCGATGGCGGGAGTTTCAAGCGCAGCAGGTAGGGGTTAGGGGAAGAGAGAAACTAAACAAAGAAGAGTGTTCAAGCGGACAGTATATAACTCCACCCCCCTCCTCTCCCGTATCCCTCTACAACTTGGCCTGATTCATAGTAGAATGGCATCAGGAGCAATGAGGTCGTACCCATCGATGTAGTTAGCGGAAATATCTCTTATGACCGATCGGTCATTAGTATAAACTCCATTTCGGGCCGGACTCTCCGAGATGAAGCAAGCAATCATCTTCCAATTAGGTTGGCTTGGAAAACGCCCTGATGCACCATAATATGGGAATTTGTAATTATCTTGACGTGATCAATGCCGCTAGTCCGCAGCTGTCACTACGCGGCAGAATGACCAAAAAGGTCTAGATCATATTAAATAATAATCTATTGTGTGGTCACACTAGAATGAAGGTGTGCTAAAAAGGGAATTTAATTAAATTAACTGGGGAAGAGTGTCCAAGTCAAAGACATCCCCTGCGATCCATTAGTAGTTCTGATAGCACATGTGACCCAGGTGAAATCTGTCCATCACGGTGGCTGGAACAACCTTGGACTGCCTCGTCTTCACCGCCAAGCCGTTCTCATGCACGATGATCCGCCCATTGCTAACAAAAGTACTGTGCTCCAATTCTTTCAGCGCCGGATCCGCCACGACAAAGGCGTGTGCCCCGGCTATTACACCAAAGTTAGTTTAGTTTCGGTCGGCAATCACCGAGGCTAAAAGAAATTCGTGGGAAGGAGAAGCTCACTTGCGTAACCAAACGGGGACGGTCGCCATGTCCGGCTGATTTCCGAAGATCCTTTTGACATCCGGTGCCAATTTGATGACGCCTTTGTAGCGGAGTCGATGGAATGGGCTTGTTCGGTTCTAGTCCTGTGATTAGCCGGAATCCCTTGATTCATTGGCATAAGAAAATAATTACATGGCGATTCCCTTCAGGTTGATACGGGCATGTTCCCCATCGGGGTCGAAGGAAAGCCAGTCAGAAACCCAGGACACGTTGGCCTTGAACGCAGGCTCGAAGCCCGGGACAGTTTCGATGGTTCCCGTTGGAGTGCCCTGAAAGCACCGGTCAGCAGAAGAAGCAAATAAAAAGAAAGAGCCAGGGTGGGGACAGACTCACGTAGTGGGTTAGATTAGATCCGGTGTGGATGAGATACCCTTAAAAGGGCCTGACCTGCAGTAAGGCCTGTTGGTAACAGTAAGGTTGAGAGACAGATCGTTGACGTTGGAAACCTAAGAACTATAAGGCAATTTTACCCGGAACGCTTCTAACCTAACTGTGACCAGTTTACAGGGCGTAACAGGACGACAAGTAATTTGAATCCTAGCTGGTTCTTCAGGCCCAGCTCTAATCCATGAGCATCGTTGGGCGCTGCCGCGCAGGGAACGGAGACGGCGGAAGGCTTCCATTTCGAGTATTGCGTCAAGTGTCTCCAGCCCACCCGGGGTGTGCCAGGGGAACAGTGTCGACACTGGCCACAGACTCAGCGTAGGGCCTGTTGCCTTGTGCGGTAGTTTGGTTGCTTGATATTTGCCCAGATTCCAAGCGCTCAGCAGGAAGGAGTGGGTCTGCGATTGAGCCAACAAGGGCTGTATGGCCTCCGTGATTGATCCAAATACAGTGATTATTTCATGTAGGAATAGGGACAAATCAAAGGCTGGTACTGCTACATGTAAATCATAAGTGACTCAGCTACTTATATATCATGTGATAGTCCATAATAGACGAAACTTATGCTAGTCACGGGCTGTATGTCTCTTATGAAAGTGTCGTACTACATTGCTGGATTGATGTTGGGCCCGACGGCCCGATGGTGTGGGCCAACCGGGATAGGAATGCTATCGATCTCGCAGAACCGCTTCTTGTTCTGCCGATTCTCCAGCTGGGAACCAGGCACCGTATAAAGCTGGAAAGCTAGAGATAGGTACAATGGGTCTGGTCGCCGGCGTATGATCTCATCCAGATCTAGTCGATGAAGGATGTAGGGGTGATGAAGAAATGGTGCGGCCATGATGCGGCGCGGCGCGGCGAAGAGCGGGGCGAGACGTTGCTTCGGTTGTGGACCCAGCGCTACAGGACACAATAGCCAAATTATGATTCATAGTGCCTGGAGAGCGCCGATAATGCTATGCCTAAAGTCATTATCCCCCCATCTCAGTACTGCCCAGAGATAGCGTAAGAAAACCAAGGAGTCATCTCTCATGGTTACTCTCCATGTCCCAATGCAGCTCATATAGAAATCTTCTTCCTTCGGTTTCCGAAAATGGAGCCACATTTCATGGATTGGGCCTTCCGTAGTGACGGAGAAGGCCAGGTGTGAGACGGCTTCGGATAAACTCGGACTCGGCTCAGCACCCCTTCGACCTTCCTCCAAGATTTGGGCATCCTTTAGTTCCACAAGATTTCAGAGTATTTGAAGAGCTGCTGGACCGCCCACCGCAGCTTGGTTTTGTGCCTGGTATAGATTCCCACCAGTTGCCCCAGCCTTTGCCTCCACAATCAAAAATGGAAACCAGGCCCATAGGGGTGACATGTGGATCGCTAATCAGACTCCCAGTGTCCTGCAAGTCAAATAAGAAACTTCTCGCGGCGCTGTGGCCCTTCCGGGGCTCAAGGTCAACTACTAGACTCTTATCTGACAGACCAGTGCAGATATCGGGACGAGGGGCTTTCAATTTGAATATAGGAACGGTTGGTAGTGGGGAACTTAAGTCCGTTGCGCGGGGCAAAGAAGATACAGAGCTTCCATCAACAAGGTTGGTTTCCGGTACGGGTCGGTTTGACTGACCACGTCTTCGTGGAACGGTCGGCGGAGGATTGTGAACCGGAGGCTTCAGATCTTCACCCCGGCCTTGTCGAAATGTCAGCAGAGTTAGGCCAGGTGATTTGTGAAACCTATTGTAACTTACCTCGATTCCGTACAACCTCAAGTCCCGGAAACTGCAACTCGTCAATTGCTATATGTAAGACTTCGGTCCATTCTGCTTCCCCCGATGGTTTCTTCACGAGCTCCTTGGCTTTTTCCCAAAGCTTTTCGGACACAAGGTCTAAGTCAGCATCGTCTATGGCAGCATTGAATATTTTCTTTGCGTAATTCCAGACATCGGGCGGTATGTCATCATCTGAAGATATTTGCGCGCCGGAGATGATTGACACGATACTGTGCATCGCTCAGTCTGGACAGACTGCTCGATCGATCGTTGCGAAGAGCGAGTGGAAGGAGGCGGAAATTTTGGGGTATCTGCAAAGCGGGGGAAGTATCTTGCGAAATCATATTGAACAACGTGAATGGTCATTATCGCGTAGAGCATCTGCGGTGAGTTTACCGGTCGTAGCAGCAGTCTTCCGTTGCTTCGAGCGTAAATAAACCGGGGAGCAAGAGCGTGTCCGCTTCATCGAATTGGTGTTAACTTGCTCGTACGCAACGTGTCACATGGCTCCTGGGTGGGGGTGGAGGTGGAGGACCAAAACATCAGGGGGGTCATGTGACGTTCTGTCAAAATACCATGAACTACGGTAGGATCCCAAAAGTACAAATTAGGTATGTTTTGGATAGCAACACCATACAAAAGGTACCTAATGTGACGTCCCCCACCGCTATTTGTCCTTGTATGGTATAAATGAGTGGCCGCATAGACCCAATCAATGACTTGCCCACTCCATTAGAGCCTTGGCGTCGTAACATCCTCTCTTTTCCTCACACTTATCCAACTTCAAATATCGCTTGGCTCCTACGCACACACCGAGGAGAGCAGTCAAAGCCGAAATTATGGCTTCCCAAAGGCAGAGACTAGATATCGGATTACGTGTCGATATCATACAACAACCCGATGATATCATCCAGGCTTTTGACTGCGTGTGCGAGGCCTTTGGCCGCCAAGTGCAAGATGGGATCTGGATAGCCATGAACCCAGGATGGGACACACCTCAGGGGAGGGCATATGGAGCCGAGAGGATGATCGCCCGCTGGCGCCACAAGACCAATGACAAAGACGGTCTCCCGAACACGATATTTCTCAAGGCTACACTGCCGTGTCCGCAGTTTGAAGACAGGCGTATTATCGTGGGCTGCGGTATTTGGGTGCAAGCTTCCAGCGTAGAGGGTCATGGTGATCCTCCAGTGGAAGATCTAGCCAATTCGATGGACCTCAATACACTATACCCTGACAATGAGCCTGAACGGCGTTACCTCTGTCAAGTTATTTCCTCTCTGCATAGAAGACGCACCGAGGTAATCAAACAGAAAGCCACTGCAGTGCCACCAACCGTTATGATCCTAGACATGTGCGCCGTCGATCCAGCGCACCAACGCAAAGGCATCGCACGAGAACTTGTACAGTGGGGCATCGATGAAGCACAACGGCGTGGGAATCTGGAAGCCATAACGGAGGCGTCCAGTATGGGTCGACATGTATATGGACAGATGGGGTTCCAAGCGGACGGGCCTGAAATCGAATATGTTGTGGACGCCGAATTTGCTTCTCGCCCGAAACCACCGAACCTGTTTATGCGCACCCATAGAAGCGTGGTTTGATCTGACATTGCTGCCAAGACCTACACTCCTGTTGGTTTACCTGTTTCCCATCCTTCATATCCTATTAAATTTTCCATCTTCGGTAGAGAATATCAGATAAACTCCACTTCGCTTTTCTGATGTCACCATAGTGTTGGAGGCTATAAGCTACCAGGGCCTGGGAGATCAAGAAGGAAGAAACTGCTGCTATTCAGACTAAGGAAGGAAGGCCTTTCTATAGAGGCCGCATGGCAGGCAAGCGCTCGGTCTACCACCAAAAAGAGGCATCCATAGAGGATGGGATGGTCTCAACACATATGACTAACGCTTTCCACCTTCTACTATTCTTTGACCTTATCTCATCAGACTCACATATTTGTAGTTGCAATCAAGTTTGAAGCACCTCCAAGACACGAAAAGCAAAACTACATATGTAGGACTAAGGTTATATAGCGGGGTATTAGCACCCCAAACGGAACTTCCAAGCCTAAAAATGGCTTAGTGAAATCCACCTCCTCATTTTGGATGAGACCGCATATCTTTGGGATGGTAAGACATGGCGCGGTGGAATACGAGGTTGGTTATCAGCTCTACGTAATTGAATCGTTAGACATATACCTAGGTAACCTTGAGCCACGCCCCTTCGTATTTGTCGACACGAGACAGCTCATCACGCCTAAAGACTCCATGAATAAATGCCTATGGTTCGCGTCATAGAATGAGACATTGCCCTGTCGCTAGAATGTCGTTAGACATGATCGAGGCTTCTTGTATTACTCTTTGTTTGTTTCATCATGATTATTGATTTCAAAATAATTAGACGGTTCGCGGGATTCCTCTAGAGAAGTGGATTTAACTAGTGAAACGATGTGGCCGTTCATAAAGGCAGTTAAGCTTACCTACAATTCTGATTTGCGTCAAATTTTAATCGCCAAATGATGCAGTACCTTATACGATGATTCATATAAGGCAAAATAAATCTTAGGCAGGTTAAATAAGCCATAGATAGACCGCAACCAGACTGCACGGCGAGAGACACGACCTAAGCCTAGACGCAACCACTAATATCTAAGACGAGAGTTGAGTGGAAGCCATAGGTTGCCTAATGTCTCAGACATCATATCCATAAATACATTACTCGAGTTGTTGGACACCCTTCTGTGGGGAAACTATGTTTGTTGTGCGCGTATACCATCTCTATCTATAATTGCATTTCCACCTTGGACAGTGAGACTTGTAGCTTCTCTTCGTTATTTAAATCTCTAAGACGCAATCTTGTTTGATAAAACGCATCATCCAAGGTAGAAAACAGGAACGTCTTCATTCGGCTATAAAAGCTACTCCAGTAATGCACGTAGATACATATGAAATGGAAACAGCCTACCAAGGCTCGCCTGATCTGTATACGAAGGGCTGCGCAGATCAGCTACCGTGTTCTGCTCTCAGGCAAACCCAGATCGGGTGTGGCAGGTCGTGTCATCCGCTAGATGTATACCGTTCGAACGTCTAAGAATAGCATGGATGACAAGATTATGGAGACTTCAGCTCTCGGTTAAAGCTCAGCATTCCGGTAGGAAAGGTATAAAGTCCGCCTTCTTCCTGCGAGACGAGATGCCTTTCACTCAGAACAACATCAGACTTCAACTGTGTTTTCAAAGCTTCCAACAATTCATTGCTGCAAATAACATCATTGCATTTTGCAAAGTTTCCTCCAAGGACTTCAAAATGAAGTTTACCATTGCTGCTATCATGCCTCTTGTGGTAGTCACTGTCTCTGCCACGCCTCTTGAGGTCCGCCAGTCCAACCAAGTCACCGCAGCTCTATCCAATGACCAATCTGGAGCATATGCTAGCGTAACATTCCAAGCCGATGACACTTATAAGAGCATCTTCTCCCTCTTCAGTGGTACCTCTGTTGGGGCAGGTGGTACCGTCAAGGCAACCGCCGCCCAGCTCACCAACTTTGCGCAATCTATCAATTGTGTTATCAAGAACAACGACGCTACCATTGGTACCTTGACTGCCCAGAAAACCTATTTGGATCTAGATGGAAGTCCCCACGCTGCCATTCCAATCAACCTGGACAATGCTGAGATTCTCTGTCGTGTTTGAATCCCTGGCTCCTCACAGATGCCACAACTTTGACCTGTTGAGTGACAGGATGTACTGAAGCTGAACTGGGATCGATTGTGAGACAGTGGTTCATTGTTTTCATGTCTTTTGTATGGCAAATGTCTTGTTGTGGTCAATACATGACGAGAAATGCATAGTTATTCAATTTATTGAACCTGGGCCTTCTGATATATCTTGACGGTGCCACATTGTAGCACCGGTAGTGGCTCGTTTTCATTAACTCTGCGGTATTCGCTTCTGATAAAAGCTACTGCCCGCCTACTAGTTTTGTAATTCTTCTTGTCTTGGTCATCTCCCGAATAACATCGTTTATCTTATCATCCCCAAGGTTTTTAACATCTAAAATGGCTCGCAAGGTCCCCGAAGATGGAAGCATATTTTTTTGATTCTTGGACATCTCCTTCAGTGGTGTTTGAAAATAAAGAAAAAGTTCTGTCCCGAATGTTGATGTGTACAAACTCTGCAAAGTGGAGGTCTCATCTCCATGTTATGGATGACACTGAGGGTTGCGATAATGGGTATTCCGACCACAGTCGGAGAATGTATGTCCTCCCCCTGTTTAATCTTCTCGTCGCGAGGCCCCAGTGGATGATGTAGTTAACGAGTCAACAGAGCGGACCTTCGAGTCTTACCCCTCCTAGTATTCGGGTTTGCTAGCTATCAGCTTGACAGAACCAACATTGCTAGCGCACTCACAGGGAACTTTGCAGCCGTCATATCTGTCGACCAGGACATTATAAATCTCGGGAATCAACTGATGTTCCTGGGTGTTATTGTACTTGAGATACCATCAAATCTTATTCTACACAAGGTATGTCACATCCCTTGCCGGATGATACGCGTGTCAATAAGTCGAATTAGATTGGTCCTCGCCAATGGATGAGTGCACAAGTCTGCGTGTTCGGGATAGTAGCATGTCTACAAGTACTCGTGCACAATAAGTTAAGCTTCCTGCTCACTAGAACATTTTTGGGTCTTGCTGAAGCTGGGTATATTCCCGGTGCGATGTATACACTTTCTACCTGGTATACGAAGGAAGAGTTGACGAAACGAATCGCCATATTCTTCTTCGGCATGTTTGGTGGAACGGCCGCTTCTCCGCTTCTTGGAGCTGCTCTGTTGAGGCTGGACGGAAAGTGTGGGCTTTTTGGCTGGCAATGGATCTTCCTCGGTACGATTGAGGCTCTCAACTATCAGACAATGCTAACGAATTTGTAGTTGAGGGTCTTTTCTCCGTCGCAGTCTCTATTTTTCTCTTTTGCTTCCTTCCTGAGCACAAGGAAGTCCCTAGGTCATCCAATCAAGTGGACTTTAGTGGGCTTCGCCCAATGAAGGGACCGTTGGCTCACCCTAGCAAACCGCATATACCATTCAGATTGGTTTGGAAGACCTTGACAGACATGCGGAAATGGCCGCATTTTATTGCCACAGGCTGTGTCTTCGCTACATGGAGCCCTCTCACAACATACACCCCGAGCATTTTCATGGAACTGGGTTTTGCTCGAATTAAGGCAAATGCATTTTGTGCAATCGGAAGCTTGCTCACTCTCCCGGTGATTCTTTTTTTTGCGTGGATGAGCGACAAATTGAGCAAAAGAGGCCTTACCGTCATGGTTGCTATCTTCGTGTACTTGATCGCGTTGGTAATGTTGAGAATCATGATGCACCGTGTGGATAAATGGGGTAAGCTCGGCCTCTGGACAACAGTCAATGCTTTGGCTGTAGGCTATCATCCAATCCACAATTCTTGGATCCAAATCAACTGCAAGAGCTCCGAAGAGAGGAACATAAGCGTTGCGTGAGTAAATCTTTTCCTACGGGTCGTTCTTCAAACAGATGAGCTGAGCTAACAGTCTTGCTTGAAAGAATGTGTAAGACTATTAGCCCTATCGGGGACTGTCCCTTTTTTACTAACTCAATGAAGTCGTCATGGCAGCTACAGGGGGGCTCATGGCCGGAACCCAGATATTTCGGGCGGACGAGTCAGCTATATTGTAAGTCCTATATATGCGGATCTTACCCATAGCACACCACTAATGACGGATCTATTGACCCGGTAGTTATCCGAGAGGGGTGTCGATCATGATCGGGTTAGTGATTTTGGGACTATTTCTTGTTTCCCTGCAGATCTCAATATTCTATACCCAAAACAGGCGTATCAAAGCAAGATCTGGCAGCAGGATGTTGAACGTTCTATAGTAATCGGTAGCCTTCCTATCAGGTCATATTTCTCACGTGTATCAGACCCGCTCTATACAAATCTAAGATAGTCGCTTTCCTGGTAGTTGCGCAGAAAAATTAGAAAATAGAAGATATAGCTATGGAAATAAATGAATGAGAGATTCACTAGAAGCACAAACCACGTACATTAAGCGAATGCCAGGCAAGAACCATTGACATATTGAGCAAGCTTTGTTCCTATATTTTCATTGGCAATACGAAGGTAGGGAGAGAGTCGTATAGTTGTATTCGGAAGAGACAAACCCACGAACTCTTTAACTTGAGACACCCGCTCCAACATATTACAAGAACCCCAGTCCCTCCATCACTTCCCTGGCTATTCTTTTAGCCAAAATCTGCTCTGAGGAATCCACATTATCGAGGAAATCACCGCATTCTTTTTCCATCGCGACTCGACGACGGTCTATGCTCTGATCGATGCCTGAAATCTCCCTCAGGAGGTCCTGCATCTTCTCAAAAGCCCGCATTGGAGGAAGCAGTCCCATTTTGACCCAATTCAGATCCGTAAGACGGTATTTTGTGGAAATTTGCAATGTCGTGCTGATAATTGCTTAGGTTCGGCTTCGGTTATTCAAGACTCTGTCCATGAGCCTTGGTTTGCAGTTGACGCGCAATTCTGGTCGCAACAATCTCGGCCAGTGATGAATATACCAAAACCCCCAAAATGCCAGTTGCGGAGCGCCCTTCATGTTCACCGTAGATGGAACCGAACAACTGCCAGAGAATGTCCCCGACAGGGTCCAGAA